CTCCCTTCATCTGCTCCCATGTGCTCAGATCAGATATGTCCCTCTCCCAGAGCTGCAGATTCAATGCCATCCTTTGGAATAAATTTTTCTGGGGGAAGGAGCAGGTGTCCACGTAGTAGTTGGGATTGGGCCGGCTCCTCAGACCTCTCCACTGGTTCCCTAAGGGCCAACTATCTTAATTTATTTACACTCCCTGCGTATTCTAGTACAGCCACTGATCCAAATAGGTAAGAACATCTTAGCCGTGTGTACCAGCTCCTCTTCCCGGGATGTAGCATGGAGGATGGTACCGAGGAGACAAGAAGCCTCTTTTCACCAAACCTAGGGCTTTTAAACAAAAACAGTGTCTCTGTTATCCTTTCCTTTCCTGGGTTTGAAAGAAAATTCACCCTCTCTCTCCCTTTTCTCTCACTTTTTTTGACAAGAGCTCTTAAAAAGCGGTGAAGCACTAGAAAAGCCAAACTAGAACATTGATTGTGAGACAAAAAGACTGATGTTGAAGTATGTGTATAAATTCTGGATGTTTGCTGACTAACTTAGAAACCCATTCATATAGACACCATAGGACATAACAATATTTCTCCACAGTATTTTATTGTATTAACATGCTACGTGCTTTGTCCATTTGAATTTGCACACCAGTTACTGGCCAGCTCTAAAAGTTTAATTTTCTCCTAAGAGATAATGACATCGTAGTCAGAAATAGAAACACCAGAGGAGATTGGCAATACGTTTATAAGGATTTAAAATGCAAAACCATGGTATTCAAATCTCTTGCTCACTTCAGAAGTTAAAATAAAAGCCTTCACAAAACTGGCTTGACAAAGCAATCAAAGTATTTCTGCAAACAATGGTCTAGAAATTTGCAGACATCTGTATTATAACATTGTAATTGGTAGTGGGTGGCATATATAATGTTAGTCAGTGATTAGAGCTTCAGTGATGACGATGAAACATTCACAATGGCTTTTCAACAGTCGGTTGCATTCCAATCCTGGATAATTTATTTTCTGTTGTGAAAGTAAAATCAATTGTGTGTGATGGGTTTTTTAATTGTAAAAAAATTGTGACTGGGGACTAAATTTGAAGTGCTTTCTGAATTGATGTTCTATTTCTGTGTGGTTGGTCTGGTTAGATATGTGGCCAGTGGAACAGATTTTTCTTAAAACCATTCTCATAGTCAATTCTAATCCATGGCGACCTGATAGGACAAAGTAGAACTGAAAGACCGGTGGCTTGTGGCTGTATGAAATTCCGCATCCCCCTTAGGTCTGGGTCACCCCTCCGTGGTCTCGTCCTTCCTGTATTTTCTAAATCCTGAGTTAAATGTCTGGATCCTCCACTTACTTTACTAAACGGGGTTGTAATCTCCCCACGTCTTAGGTTCAGACTTTTCTCTGCCTCTTCAGCAGGCTTCCTATCTAGACTGCCAACACTATCCAAGGACTTTTCAAGATGCAAACAAGCTTAGAACAATTTGATATGTCTTAGGGCTACTTTGTTTTCCACAATAGCCAAGCACGTAGAGACGACACAGGGGCCCCCACTATTAGCAAACTATGGGAGGCAGGGGTCTTGGTGTGGTGTACATACTCATTGAGTGATGAATGTAATATGCATGAAGGCTTAGGTCCCATTCTCGATGAGGTCCCAATGATTAGATCTGGAATCTTTGATCATGCCTTTAGGACTTGATGGATCTGTGATAACATCTGCTGGGGGAGAAAGGGGCTCGTCCCTGGGGATAATAGAGACGCTGTGCTGGGTCCCCTCCCGGCCTTGCATGGTGTGTTTCTGTATCAGAATTTCAATCATAGTCCTAGAGCCCATGAATTCTGTAAGTCACTCAAGTAAATTTTTAAACTCATTGGCAGCAGTGAGAACCCACTGAGAGGCTAATTTTTGCCTATTTGGCAGAGGCTAGAAGCAGTCCTACTGGTGAATACCCCACTCTGACTCTGTGTAGAGTCAGAAAGAGAGAGAGCTCACAGAATGGTGGCATGGGAGAGTGAAGATAGGAGTTAGTGTCACATTTTGGAAAATTCGCTTTATGTCAGCAATTATTCATAGGCTCTCTACCTTTCAGTTCTGTCTTTATTTTGACCCTAGAAAAGGGAAGTTTTCTTGGATGGACCTCATGTCCTCATGCTTTGGTCTTAGCTATCCAGTCTCCTTCCTCACTGCCTGAGTCTGTACTTCTCCCTTGTTCTGTGTGTGCTCTGTCTTCCCTACACTGGGAAGGCTTACATTTCCTCTGCCGAGTAGGATTCCCAACCTACTCCTCTCTTCATTCTTGCTTCTGGCTCTTCTAGTCCTCTTCTCTTGACTCAGTTCTTTGTACCTACCCATAGTTCTCTTTCATTTTTTACCTGTCCAGAACATCTTAAGATTGCCTGGATTTCATTCCTCTGAAACAGTTCCAGTCTGTATAATGGTAGCATTTTTAGCCTCATGGTCTTGTCTTAGATAGTTCAGTGGTCTACTATTACACTTAATGCTCAAACCCCTCTATGTGCAGTTTAGTATCTGTGCCCTCAGAAAGGGATGTGTCTGTTTATTCACGTCGTCATTAATGTAGGATCTAGCCCATGTTGTTGTTAGTGCCATCAAGTTAGCACAGACTCATTGCCACCTGTGTACAGCAGAACAAAACCAACACTGCCTGGCCCTGCGCCATCATCACATCGGAACCCATTGTTGCAGCCACAAGCACGATGCCCTCCTTCTCCAGGACTAGGCTCTCCCGACAACATGTCCAGCGTACATGAGATCAGTCTTACCGACCTTGCTTCTAAGGACAGATGTTTTGTTCTTTTGGCAGTCGGTAGTACTTTCAGTATTCTTCACCTGCGCACTATAATTCAAATACATCGGTCTCCCTTACTCAGTACCCAGCTTTCACATGTATATGAGGGATTGAAAATATCTCTCTAGCACATGTTGCTTAATCTGCTGATGATGTGAAATAATGTTAAGCTCTCAAGGGGTATAGCTCAAAACAGTGATGGTGATTATGTTATCTCTCACCTTACCTGGCTCCTACTTTTATTTCATTGAGCATCTGCTCAGTGTTGTCAAAAATTACCTTGTATTAGTAATTTGGAAGTCCCGTTTATTCCAGGAGGCTTTAGAAAGTTCATCATTTTATTTAATTCCATTTTCTGTGAACTTCGTGAAGTCCCCTCATGTATCAGGAGGAGCCCTGGTGGTGCAGTGCTTAAGTGCTTGACTGCACTTTGAACCCACAAGATCCCTGGGAGAAAAAACTGGCAATCTGCTTCCCTGAGGGTCACAGCCTAGCCAGTCCCCTAGGCTGTCATTTCCATGAGCTGGAATCAACTTGACACAAACACCAACATCTTGTGCATTACATCTTGTTTTTAGTTTTAACAATGGAAAATTACGGGGCTTTCTTTTCGATAGCAAAAAATTTTATTGTTAATATCTGAAGAATAAGAACTAGAAGAGGCTGGGTTTTTACACTATGTAGTTATGAGCTGCGCCTCGCAGGCCAGAGTTACTGGGGCTGTTCTGGTTGAGACACCAAGAGTGTGTGCGCTCGGCAGGCTTCCATCCTACCTGCCCAGTTGGCAGCTGCAGTTTATAGGTGTGTTTCCTTAACAAGTTCCTGATGTTTCATAAGAGTAAAGTCTTTCTGAAAATAAGTTAATCACCTGCGGTGAATAAGTAGACACTGCATATTTTCAATACAAAGGTAAATTTTCACCAATGGAAAGTTTCAGCTTGGTGACACTAGGAGAACTTACACATCCTCCTAGTGCCACTGCTTCCCACACAGGTGTGCACAGAGGCACCCACAGCTACCAGGTGCATGGCACATGTCCCCCAGTGTCCAGGTTATGCACATAGGATGGAGATTTTAGAAAAGGGTTTTGTTCCAGAGTCTAGAGTATATGTTTCACCTTTTCTGTTTTCAGACCTACTTCCTCTTATAATTGAAGGAAGAAGCTAAAGGAGGTCACACACAGAGTTAGGGTGAGAAAAGGCTTCTTATTGCTGCCCCTGTTTTGCCTTTTTACCAGTGTGACCTGGACTTTTCACGCCCTAGGGAGCCTCTCCTGATCAACTTGTCCTGTAGCCTAAACCCTGTCATATGCCCCCAAGTTTTGAAAGTTACATCTGTCATATAAGCTATGTTACTATAATTGATTCATTGAAGCCCCCTGAAAATTAGAGCTTTTGATCAAAAGTAGCTAACCATTCGCTAAACTGAATTGCTAACATTTTGGCAGAGACGGGTGTGGGGGCCAGGGGGAGTGGACAGGTCATTACATTATGCTTGAGGAAGCACTGAAAGTGGTTTGCAGCTCAGCACCATGGCCCTCTTGGAGCCTGGGGCCCTTGAAGCTCCCAGTCTCTGCACCCCTCCCTTTTCTTTCAACTGCAGCTCAGGAGTTTTACATCTTACCATTTACCTGGTACCTGAAAAAGAATGCTGTGTTTTGTTTGTCCCCCCGCCCCCCCCTTTTTTTTGTCTTTTTTTTTTTTTAACATTTTATTAGGGGCTCATACAACTATTATCGCAATCCATACACACATCAATTGTGTAAAGCGCATTTGTACATCATTCTCAAAACATTTTCTCTCCTCTTAAACCCCCGACATTAGGTCCTCATTTTTCTCCTCCCTCCCCGCTACCCCCTCCCTCATGAGCCCTTGATAGTTTATAAATGGGTATTTTGTCATATCTTGCCCTGTCCGACGTCTCCCTTCACCCACTTTTCGGTTGTCTGTCCCCCAGGGAGGAGGTCACACACAGTTCCATGTAATCGGTTCCCTCTTTCCTACCCATTCTCCCTTTACCCTCCCTGTTTTGCCACTCACACCGCTGGTCCTATAGGGCTCATCCGTCCCGGATTCCCTGTATTTTCAGTTCCTATCTGTACCAGTGTACATCCTCTGGTCTAGCCAGACTTGCAATGCTGTGTTTCAAAGTAAGCATATTAATGCTTTTGTTTCTTTCGCTTTTCTGTGCGTAGATTGATTATGAAAGGAAAAAGAAAGAAGATGGAAAGCGAGCTCGGGCAGATAAACAGTATGTTCTGGACATGCTGTTTTCCGCCTTTGAGAAGCATCAGTATTATAATCTGAAGGACTTGGTGGACATCACAAAACAGCCTGTGGTATGTATATGTTTAAAATGACCCTTTACATATGTCCTGCTTCACCAGCAGTCAGTACTAAAGACAATGTGCATATTACTCACCAGGGTAATGTTAAATTCTGTTTCAACCCTCGGAAAAGGATACATTTTGTTTGGTTTTTTATCATTTTACTGGGGGCTCGTACAACTCTTAGCACAATCCATACATATATTCATTGTGTCAAGCACATTTGTACATATGTTGCCATCATCATTTTCAAAATATTTTCTTTCTACTTAAGCCCTGGGTGTCAGCTCCTCATTTTTCCCCTCCCTCCCCTCCCCTCCCCTCCCTCCTTCATGAACCCTTGATAATTTATAAATTATTGTTATTTTTTTCATGTCTCCCTTCACCCACTTTTCTGTTGTCCATCCCCCTGCAAAGGGTTTTTTGTAAATCATTGTGCTCAGTTCCCCCTTTCTCCCCTGACCTTCCAGAAAGGGATGCGTTTATGCAGCCTGTTTTGGCAACATCAGCTATCTATCTATTTATTTATTTATTTTTGGAGACTAATTTTTTTTCCTAATAGAACTGATTTATCAGAATGAAACATTGATTTTTAAAAATAGGATAAGAAAATTCCACTTGAAGAACTTTTGTAATGCAAGTGCCAGAATTCATTGAAATTAGTAAAGGAAAGGCAATTTGTAGCAACCTAAATTAGAAGATACATTTTAGAATAAGACCGTTAGGTTATGATGAAACAGAAGTACACTGAAAAGTTCTTTTGTGTATTATGCTGTACATATCTTTTGTTTTTAATGTAATCATTTTATTGGGGGCTTGTACAACTCTTATCACAATCCATACATACATCCGTTGTGTCAAGCACATGTGTACCTATGTTGCCATCATCATTCTCACAACATTTGCTTTCTACTTGAGCCCTTGGTGTCAGCTCCTCATCTTTCCCTCTCCCTCCCCGCTCCCTCCTCCCTCATGAGCCCTTGATAATTTATAAATTATTATTGTTATTTTGTCATATCTTTACACTGTCCGATGAAGAGACTAACTTTTTAATTAATTTTTTATTAATAAATAATTTTATTGGGGGTTCTTACAGCTCTTGTAACAATCCATGTATCAATTGTATCACACACATATGTACATATGTTGACATCATTGTTTTAAAAAACTTTTCTTTCTGCTTAAGCCCTTGGCATCAGCTCCTCTTTCTTCCCTCACTCTCGTACCCTCACGGACCCCTGATAAATTATAAATGATTATTATTTTCATATCCTACACCGTCTGCATAACATCAGCTATTTTAGACTGCACATTTTTTCCCATTTATCTTTATCACACCCAATATGTTATCTGAGTTATCAGATTTAATTATAACTGTTCCCTTAGACATTTTTAAAGAATTAAATGGTAACCCTTTCATTTTCCCCATTCCTTATCAACTTTTCCACTTTGGCTGTATACACAGACTGTTAATTCTAGTTGCTCTGTTTATTCTGAATACATAACAAGATAACCAGTTTCTTTTTAAAAACAAAACAAAGACATTTTAATATAACCAGATAATCTATTGAAGGGTATGACATATTTTTTTCTGATTTATACAAAGCTTTCGGACATGATTGGTGACCCGTCAGTGTTGGTTGTAGCTTCTCACTTCTGCGGAGATCTCTTTACTATTAGCACATCAACATTTCACTTTTAAAAATAAATTAATTTAAATTCAAAAGATCATTTTTAAAATGGAGAAAGTAAAATGTTTGTGCTGTATTGTTCCCAGTTTATCCCAATGACTTCATCCCCTTGAACATCAAAGCCTTTAAAACAGCAATCCAAGATAGATTAAACACTTTAAAAGAGAATCATTCACTAGCTAAGCTGTGTTTCTTCTGGTTTTTTAATGAAGGTTATGTTCATATACGTACACACCACAGAGACATGATTATATTCATTATTCCAGCAACTCAAAGCAGACAGAATACTCTCATGGAATAGCTCAAAAACATTAAAATATAAGAAAATAAACATTTATAGAGGGCCATCCAGATAATACTAAGAAAATCTTCCTTTATGTGGGATGGCATTGTTTTGATCAGGTATTCATTTTGCATCAAATAAAATGAATTTTTCCTTTTTCTCTGGACTGTATGAAGAGGTGACATCACAATGGCAGGACGCCTGATTACAAATCTGCCATATGCAGAGGGCGCATCCTTGCTTGCTGAAAGTGAAGGGAACTTGAAGCGCTTTTTCTTTTAATTCTTTTTATTGGGGCTCTCATAACTCTTATCACAATCCATACGTTCATCCATGTGTCAAGCACATTTGTACATTTGTTGCCCTCATGATTCTCAAAACGTTTTCTTTCTACTTGAGCCCTTGGTGTCAGTTCTTTTTCCCCTCCCTCAGGAACCCTTGATAGTTTATACATTATTATTAGTATTTGTTCATGTCTTACACTGACCAACGTCTTACTTCACCCACTTTTCTGTTGTCAGTCCCCCAGGGAGGGGATTATATGTAGATAATTGTGATTGGTTCCCTCTTTCTCCCCCCACCTTTTCCTTATCTTCCTTGTATCGCTACTCTCATTTTTGGTTATTTATCTGTCCTGTATTCCCTGTGTTTCCAGTTCTTAGCTGTACCAGGTACATCCCCTGGTCTAGCTGGATTTGTAAGGTAGAATTGGGATCATGATAGTGCGGTAGAGAAAGCATTAAAGAACTAGAGAAAATTGTATGTTTCATCGGTGTTATCCTGCACCCTGACTGGCTCATCTCCTCCCCAAGACTCGTCTGTAAGGGGATGTTCAATTGCCTGCAGATGGGCTTTGGGTCTCCACTCTGCATCCCCCTTCATTCACAGTGACATGATTTTCTGTTCTTTGATGCCTGATACCTGATCTTATTGACACCTCGTGATCGCACTGGCTGGTGTGCTTCTTCCATGTGGACTTTGTTGCTTCTCAGCTAGATGGCCGTTTCTTTACCTTCAAGCCTTTAAGACCCCAGTCGCTATATCTTTTGATAGCCGAACACCATCAGCTTTCTTCACCACATTTGCTTATGCACCCACTTTGTCTTCAGCAATCGTTTCAGGAAGGTGAGCATCATGGAATGCCAGGTTAATGAACAAAATGTACTTGCATTGAAAGAATATTTGAGTAGAGGCCCAATGTCCATCTTCTACCTTAATATTGAACCTATAAATATATGTACATAGATCTATTTCCCCATTGTCATATATAAATATATTTACATATGTTCATGCCTATATTTAGACCTGTATAAATGCCCTTTGCCTCTTAATTCTTTTCTCTATTTCCTTTTACTTTCCTCTTGTCCCACAATCACGTTCAGCTTTTATTTGGGTCTCAGTAATTCCTCTTGGTTATATTGCCCTTGATCAAGCCCTACCAGGCCAATTAGACCCTCCTTGCCATCAATTTTAGATTACTTGTTCCCTTGTTCCTGGGTTTGTTAACACCCACTTTCTTTCCCTCCCGCCTCCCCCATTCCCATGTCCCCCCAGAACCATCAATCTCATTGTTTTCTCCTCCAGATTGTTTATCCCGTCTAGGTAGACCTGCAGAGATAATAATATGCACAAAAAACAAGATAGAGCAAAATAAAGCAACCAAAGAAAACAGAACAGCAACAAGAACAACAAAGTAAAGCCTGTAAATAGTAGAAGGTCTGTTGTTGACCTTTAGTAGTGTTTTCCAGTCAAGTCTGATGGGGGGCCACAGTCTGGCCCAAAGTCTATTTTTGTTATTCCCTTGGGACATTATTACTCTGCTCCCCTTGCTGTTCTGTTGCACACTCTTAGTGTCTTGACTCGATGTGGTGGGGTCAGATTGGGTGCAATTCCCTCACTGTGTCTCCTTGACTCAAGTACTCTCTCAACACAAGAATACTTTGTTCTTACAATCTGGCATTCTATGGTGCTCACCTACCCAACACGATCACTGAAGACAAAATGGGTGTATAAGTAAATGTGGTGAACAAAGCTGATGGTACCCGTCTGTGGAAAGATACAGCATCTGGGGTCTTAATGACTTGAAGATAGACAAGCGACCATCTAGCTGAGAAGCAACGAAGTCCACCAACCTGTGTGATCATGAAGTGTGATGGGATCAGGTAACAGGCATCTAAGACCCAGAACCCATACCCAAGGTAAATGGGGTTGGGGGGGTGGGGGAAGGGCTAATGGAGTGAAGACACGAGACCCCATGCCCATCTGTAGACAATTGGACATCCCTCCTACAGAGGGGTCACAGGGAAGAAATGAGCCAGTCAGGGCACAGTATAGCACTGATGAAACACACAACTTTCCTCTAGTTCTTTGATGCTTCCTTTACTCCACTATCATGACCTCAATTCTGCTTAGAAATCAGATTAGACCAGAACATGCACACTGCTACAGACAAGAGTCCGCAACACAGGGAATCCAGGATAGATAAACCCCCTCAGAGCCAACAATGACAATATTGATACCAGGAGGATTAGGGGAGGGTGGGGGTAGAAAGGGGGAATTGATCACAAGGATCAACCTAGAACCTCCTCTCAGGGGAAAACAATGGAAAAGTGGGTGAGGACCGACAGAGGACGATGTAAGATATGGAAATAATAATCTATACCTTATCAAGGGTTCATGAAGGAGGGCAGGTGGGGAGAGGGAGAGGAAAGAAATGGGGACCTGATGTCCGGGGCTCAAGTGGGAAGAGAAGGCTTTGAAAATGATGATGGCAGCATATGTGCAAATGTGCTTGACACACTGGATGAATGTATGGATTATGAAAAGAGATGTAAGAGCCCCCAGTAAAAGTATTAAAATTAAAAAAATTTTAAATAGATTGCTTAATCTTCACTTGGCCAGTAGACAAAATGGTTGAAGTTGTCAAGCATTTCATTTTACTTGAATCCACAGTCAATGCTCTTGAAAACAGCAGCCAAGAAATCATTCGACATATGACATTGGGCAAATCTGCCACAGAAGATCTCTTTAAAGTATTA